GGCATCAAGTACTCTCAGAACAGAAGCAGAATTACCTGAGAGTCTGAATACATGCAAAAATTTATTTTACACAGCTGGCTGTGTTCATCCGAGTTTCCTACATATTACAAGTTACCATTTGTTGAATGTGTCTTTAGACCTATACAGCTAAAACACAGCTACAAGTAAAACACAGGTAATGAACACAAGCCTGAAATTTACTCCATCCTCACAACATTAACTGCCTATATGTACGTATTATTGACTATTTACACTGTTCTCACAAATGTATAGCAGTCTTCCGCACATTACATTAGGACAAAAAGATGAGAATTCTTTCAGTGAAAAAGAACATATCAATGCTTCTGCTCAGAAATAATAATTTTCTACTTATTCAGACAAAATAAGGAAAAAAGTGAAATAGCAATCAAAAGATCCAAACACAGCACAAGAAGTGCATTTGTAAATTATGTAATATTCATTCAGTTTACATACCTGTTTTAGGCTTATGCAGCGACTGCTGTACAAACACTCCATGACCCTAAAGACAAACATATTTTTTAACATTGCACATCTTGCAAATGTGTTACACTAACCATAAGCAATGATTGCTGAACTGTTTCTAAATATTAAACCAATATAAACTGTTTACATCAAGGCAAGGAAGGGACGGAAGTAATTTTTATGTTCTGTCACCAATTCCTTTTCTCAAGAAGAGGTAGTTATTGAACATATTTAGACCAGTATAAAAGATGGTTATGGTTATATCTTCATAAGCAAGCAGCATGATCAAGGAGGAAACAAATCTATAAAGCAAAGCATTTGGTACTGAGCAGTCTACTTTCACATTATATGCTTTTCAAGGAGTTTTAGTTTGCATTGGTTCAAATCTAGTTCCATAGATTGAGCATCCATTCATGGTTGATGCATGTTACCTATACTCTTAAAAGCATCTTCTAGTGTCATCCCCAATGAATCCTACTAGCACACTCCAAGACCTCTTCATAACGTAAGCCAAGACATGAAAGACAGGACAATTGGGATATTTGCTTCAAAAGCATTCTCGTGACCCAAACTACAATACTAATGCAGACACATTAATTAACAAAATTAATTAATAATTAACAAAATTAATTAATAATTAACTAAAATTATTTAGTTAACTATTATCAACTAAAATACTCACGCATACACCATGGACCTAGACAGGAAAATTACTTCTATTTACCTACTCATTCTGAACAGAGTTTTTTATAAAATGTTAATAATGCTCATTCAATGCTTACCAGCATCTCGTTATCTTCTAAGACCAATCTGAGGTGGGTGAATACCCCATGCTTTTCCCCCAAGAATAAAATACTACTGGTATTCCCCATTATCCCACATGTTTCTGCACTTCTGACAATGGTTTTCTGAGGAAAACAAGGAAACTTAAAAGTCTCCAATATTTTGCACTACCAAACAAGAAACCCCTTTGGATCCAATCTATAATTCACATCAAGCACAGCCAAAAAGCAAACAAAGGAAACAAAAACAAACATGGGAAAAAAGCATGTTTACTAGAGTTAACACAACGATTTAGTTGCTGTCTTAAGAAAAAAAGTTTACCGGCATAGCCATTAAAAAAATGTCCATAGATTAATAGTTACGAATGGATGGGAAAACTTTTACTAGTTTAAACAATATATTAAATTGCACTAGACTAGTATTCTAAAAATTAATAATTCAAAAGTGGGTACTAGGCAGCAATATAATGTTCAAGAATACCTAAGGAAACATGTTAAGACGACAACACAGGTTTTCAAAAAATAATAAAGTTTTGACAGTTAGTGCATGTATATTTAAATAAATACATATATATCAAAATAAGTAGAGTGGTTGATTTACTACTTCATAGCAGCATACTGTATCAACACTTTAATGGGTTTAAAACACAGTATTCCATATGAGCCCCTCAAGCTGAAGAATAAATAACTTTCTTCTGTTTTACAGATCCCTACAAAGTCTATTATTTTAGCAAACATTATATATGTGTCATTTAATAAATACTACGTATCATGTCTCTATATTGATGCATTATCATTTCAAAAGAAATGCAAAGCTATTTCTGACTATGACTGGAGAACAGTATAAAAACAAACTAAAGAAACTTCATAAAGTTGGTAATTAACAGACCTTTATTCTTTCAGTGGCAGAGTTTCTGGAAATACTAGCATGCTGTGCAATGATGACTTACTAACTTGACTAAGGTGATGACAAGCAATTATGTGATTTCACTCGAAGTAGCATTTCTGAACTATTACAACATTACATGTAAATCAAGGCTTACTCTCAAAAATAAGTAATTGTAACATCAACATATTTAACAGACCAGGACACTCAACAACAAAGAGGAACAAAATTAACTATTATTTCAAAATCAGTTAATCTTGAAAGATTACTGAACATCTCCTTCACTCCAGTTGTGCATTTTGCTACAATATTTTAAAACAAAACAAACCCCCCCCCCCCCCCACATATATACCCCCTCTATACATCAAGCCCAAGGTGGCATTCCCACCAAAGCAAACTTGAAAACCAAGATTTAGCACTTGCACAGAATCAAGGGCTTGCTTTCCATAGCATGGCACACACACCACCTTAAGAGATAAAATGTCTAGTATCTTAGGCTAACACAGCTGTTAAAGTACTTCATTTTGTCCACAGCATAAAAAAAATAAAAATCTTTATTGATGTCAACAATTTCCAATGAGATTCACTACTGGTAACGGTCCCTTATAAAGATACAGCTGTACAAATAAGAAATTCAATTTACCTGTACTTTTTATTTCTGCATAGGAAGAAGAACAGTAGGCCAGCTTGTTTGTATTTCGCAGCAGCAACACTTAGAATAACTAACTCACAACTGAACTCTCCAAGCAGCAGAAAGATTAACTACCACAGTGTTTTCTAAGATTCCTTAAGCATAGCAAGAAGGGGAAAATAAGAGTCAAGGCAAGCATTCCTGGAAGTACTAAAACAGAAGAGTGCTACAGTTTATTCAATAAAAAGAACAACTAAATAAGTAAAGGCCTTATTGGGCACAAAGAACTAGAAAAAAAATTGTAAGAGATGACAAGAACAAAGAATGGGTGAATGCTCTGCAGTTAATTTGCAGAGTTGAACTTACATGAACTAAGTTGCAATGGCTTTGCAATTAAAGGAACTGAATCTGTCACTCTGAGGTATATCATCCCAAGTATGGCCTGGATACACGGCCAACAGGTTGGCCAAGTTCTGCCAATAGGACCTATGCATCACTGCCTATTTTTACACAGTTGTATATGCATTCAGGAAAACCTGCTTGATAAGAGGATACACAGTTTCTATGCTCTACCCCAATTTAGTATTTCTGCAAGTGAGTAACACACAGTGGTATAAGGTACCTTTGCATCAGTTTGAATTAATCAACATTAGCAGTTACTCTGTAGATCAAATCTGGGTATAAACCCCACTGGAACATCTTGCAAAGTTTTTCATCTAGTTTCAAACCTACTTACCAATTCACAGCAAGATTTATCACCAGCATAAAAAGCCAAGGCTGCAAACTCGGATTCGGCTATAGGTTCAGCCATGGTACATGATCCTGAAAGAAAAGGATTATGAGAAATACACGAGGGGAAGGCAAGAGGCAAATAACATGCGCTTTGCAGGACTTAAAATGATCACAACATTAAATTACACTTTGCAAGAGTTTTGCGGAAGACACGTGTTCTTATTTTTACATAGCACAGGTTAGCGTTGAAAACAGTAACCTAAAGCATCAGTTAAAAGCTAGTTAAATCGATTAACTAACAGTCTTCGAAGGCCCCGACGCCTGACAGTACTCCAGCACGCTACCTCGCACCCGAGACGCAGGGGAGGGAAGGGCAGTTTCTACCAGCCGGGTCAGGGGCAGCCTCTCAGGAACTATTGCCACATGCCGGGAGAGCGGAGTCAGGCACCCCTCCCGCTCCGGCGGGCAGCCCCGTCTGACAGAACCAGCGGCGCGGCCCCCGCCCAGGCCGCCCGGCCCCTCTCCTGCCCGACGGCTGGCCCGGCAGCGCCCGTCCCGTCCCGACAGCTCCGCCAGAGGCGAGGCGGGGGCCGGCCGGGCTCCCCACCGCCGTTAGACCCCGGAAGCCCCGAGGCGCGCCACTGACGTGTCGCAGCCCGGCGTTTCCCGCCGGGACAGCCCTGCCCGTGCCCGGTCCTCCCCGCGGCAAAGAGCTCCAGCAAACCGGAGGGGCTCCGCCACGGCTCCCGTGGACGACAGCACCGGTGTCCGCCCAAGACAGACCGGGCCGGGCCGGGGTGGGGTGGGCGTCACCCTGCCGGGGCCTCCGGAGAGACGGGCGTCACCCTCCCAGAGCCAGCCCCACCACCGGAGGGGTGTCACCAGCCCGGCGAGGGACGGGGAGAGGGGAGCGCCCGCCGCCGCCGCCCCAGCGCCCGCCAGCTTCCCTCACTCACCAGCTGCCGCCTACAGCCCGCCGCGCTCCCCTCCGGCTCCACAGGGCACAGGGCCGAGGCGACTCCCGCACCCCCCCCCAGCGAGCCCCTCCCGCCGCGCGCGCCAGCTGCCCCGCCCAGCCGGGCCCCGGCTACTGGCTAGTTACAGCCTGACGTCAAGGGAACGAGCCAACGCGCGGCCGGCAGCCGGCGGGCCTGCCGCGAACCCGCCGGCTCTGCGCATGCGCCCGCTGCCGAGGGGGAGGGGGGGCCGCAGCCGGTGGGGCGGCCGGGGGGTCTCTGACTGCGCATGTGCGAGAGGTGGCCCGGCGGGGAGGCGGACGCGCGGTACCGGGGGGTTAGGGAGCGCGGCTGGGCGCCTCCGCCTTCCTCCTCCTCCTCCTCCTCCTCCTGCTCCTGCTGCGGAGGGTGTCCTGGGTGTGGATTCCTCCCCTAGCCAGGCCGTGACCCCGAAAGGAAGGAGGCAGAGCGGCTTCGCCGGGCGGGGCGGGGGGGTCCCTGGGGGGGGGGGGG